CCCACTGAAGTTGTCGCTTTTAGGTGTCAGTGTGCGTGCGCACCGTAACTACTTCATGGTGACGTTTTTAGGTGTCGGTGTGCGCGCGCATCGTAAAATTCACTCTTATCATTTTTCCCAAATGCCCCAAAAGAAGTATAACTTCAAAACAGCTGAGATGCGACAGTGAGGAAAGTAATAATTATGAGCGCAGCTGGGCGGATCGCATTTAAAATGTTCCAAATCGATGTCATTCATTTCAATACATGTTATTCCTATTGGATATTATTTCTATTGGAACTTGTAATAAACTCATAGCGTCCATGCCACGCCGGTGTCAAATAGTTCTTTACAACAGCGGCAAACCTGTTGGTTATTAAATGAAATATACATTGATTTTATTATAAACAACTAAAAACTTCGTACTTGCATGTTTTTGTATTCAATTTGTTACGGCCTACGGCTGCTCCCTTAAAGGATCCAATCCTCAGGGGCCCATGAGCTGAAGACTTCCCGAACAGACGTAGGTCGGGCCTCAATGTGGCCACGTGGAATCTCTCGAATTACACTAAATATATGGGGGAGCGTTCTATACTACGGCCAGTCGATCGGCAGAGGAATTAGGCGGAACCTACTTACCTATATCCAAGGCGACTGGTCCCTCCGGAGTCGGTCAGGTCACATGTGGTTGTGTAGTGAAAGGGAAATAAGTGATGTGATGTGTATCTGGGTGTGACTGATGGTGATTGAACCTAGACCTTGGCCGTCGGCAGCAGCCCGAGCGTCGACATCGCTCCAACTTGAGGGGGCCTTCCGAGGTTGCCCACAGTCACTTTCTTCTTTCGTCACGTTGACAGTCAATTAACTCTATCGTACGATTAACTAACTTACAGAAGCCACTAACTATCGCTGGGTATAAGGTTAACTCACAAAACGCACACGGAGTTTACAGGATCAAAGGTCACTACCGTTTCGCGTTGCAACAGTTAGTTCTAGAATATCAGAGGCCGCACTAGCTAATATTGACGAATGCAATTATGCAGATTCTGAGTCGGACCCAATAAGTCCCGGGAAGCTCTCCAGCAGGAATGCGCGTCACAAAATCCTAGACCGTATATTTACGGGCCGCACCTAATTATTCCGAGTTCCCTAACAGAATTGACCGCGTGCTCACGTCAGCACCGCTTAAGGACGACTGACCTTTCGCTCGCGACCCGCGCGCCACTCCACGCTCGGAAGAACTTCAAACCGGTATCGCCCAAAGCCGCGCGCCCCCTAGACGTCGATTCCGACAACAGCGTTTTGCGCGAACAAACCCCCGTCCCGGACATAAGGATTTAGGTCCGCGAGCAAACCGGTCAGCGGGACAAGGTCGAGACTGCAAGTTGCAAGACTGAATCTACAACCAAACTAGGCCACCTTAGGCAACCCATCAGATCTTGCAACCCTAACCAACGCCTCAAAAGATAGCCCTAATGTGGCAAGCCGGAGGGTCAGCCTCCACTGGATGCCCCTCCTGGGCATCGCAGCACTTTAATAAGTCCTGTACTGGACAGAAGTCCGACGACCTCTTTCAAACACCTATCTGTGCCCCTATGATTAGTTCCGCAATCCGACCGGATCAGCTCTGCAAACAGCGACGCTACACGAAGCTGCCCAGACAAATTTTGTGCCAGCAGTTGCTTCAGTACAGAGCGCACCCACAAATTCCACATGAACGTCGTCTGTGGAGAGCCAAACGAAACGCACAGATAGTCCCTAGTATGAATTTTCAACAAGTAGGCCTAGCCAGGCCACCCACCATATTATCATTTACTAAAATAGTGCGGCAGCTGATTTCAATCTGATAATCTCCAAAACTAGCTAGCCGGTTAGGCAAGTAGTCCTATGCTCATATTTCAACTAATTTTTCAAAAGCATCAATGTGCAACTACAGAATTAATTCATTCGGAAAGGACCCCGGAGAACTTTGGCAGGTCCAGAATTGGGAGTCGTCCCAACAGCTCCGGCTGAAGCTGCTTCAGAGAGGACTCGGACAGGTCACTCATCCGAGCTACACGCGCCTCCTCGGCATACCTGCCTTCAGCCTCGATCAACTCGTCCGTGAGCCACAAGAACTGCTCATATTCCGCGAAGCAGGAGTCCAGGACTCCCTTCTCCACATCCGAATCCTCGAGCTCAGCGTAAGCCTCCTCCACTGCGGCCCTTCGAGCATTCACCTGCTCGAACCGCTTCATCAAGTTATGGACCCTATCCGGTCGACCTATCAAAGCATGGGCAAAAATTAACAGTTAATAAATGCAGTTCCTATCAAATCGCGTTGAATAGAAATTACACAAATACGAATTACTACGTATCAACCAAATACAAGTTAGCACAAAAGAAAAGACACAAATCAAATTAACAAATAACAAATACTAGTGCGATCAAATCAAGTTAAATTCAAATTGCGCAAATACAATTACTACTCTTTAGTTCAAATACAAATTACATTATAAACGAAGATACACATCACGGTCGATCAACAAAAAATGCCTAGCTCGGAAATCGACCCTTCGATAAGTAATCCACTACAACTATCCGACAACGATAATTAACCGATTACGTAAAAATAACCATCTACCTACATGACGTTTATCTCTAGAAAAACTCCCGCTTGCGCAACCTAGGGCGCGGCTTTTCAAACTACCTACTAACCAAAAAAAAAGGCAAGCAACAAACAACAAAGGGAAATAATTCTATTATTACGTACAAAAAAATATTTTTACGTATTACGGACGGGCGTGATTGTAGATACAAATTAAACCAATCAAACCAACGCTCCCTGCCACCAGATTTGTTTAATTTTTATCAAACACTATGGTCGGGATCGACCGGGGAATCGAACCCGGAACCACGTTCTGCTACCAGTTTGTTACGGCCTACGGCTGCTCCCTTAAAGGATCCAATCCTCAGGGGCCCATGAGCTGAAGACTTCCCGAACAGACGTAGGTCGGGCCTCAATGTGGCCACGTGGAATCTCTCGAATTACACTAAATATATGGGGGAGCGTTCTATACTACGGCCAGTCGACCGGCAGAGGAATTAGGCGGAGCTTACTTACCTATATCCAAGGCGACTGGTCCCTCCGGAGTCGGTCAGGTCACATGTGGTTGTGTAGTGAAAGGGAAATAAGTGATGTGATGTGTATCTGGGTGTGACTGATGGTGATTGAACCTAGACCTTGGCCGTCGGCAGCAGCCCGAGCGTCGACATCGCTCCAACTTGAGGGGGCCTTCCGAGGTTGCCCACAGTCACTTTCTTCTTTCGTCACGTTGACAGTCAATTAACTCTATCGTACGATTAACTAACTTACAGAAGCCACTAACTATCGCTGGGTATAAGGTTAACTCACAAAACGCACACGGAGTTTACAGGATCAAAGTTCACTACCGTTTCGCGTTGCAACAGTTAGTTCTAGAATATCAGAGGCCGCACTAGCTAATATTGCCGAATGCAATTATGCAGATTCTGAGTCGGACCCAATAAGTCCCGGGAAGCTCTCCAGCAGGAATGCGCGTCACAAAATCCTAGACCGTATATTTACGGGCCGCACCTAATTATTCCGAGTTCCCTAACAGAATTGACCGCGTGCTCACGTCAGCACCGCTTAAGGACGACTGACCTTTCGCTCGCGACCCGCGCGCCACTCCACGCTCGGAAGAACTTCAAACCGGTATCGCCCAAAGCCGCGCGCCCCCTAGACGTCGATTCCGACAACAGCGTTTTGCGCGAACACAATTATTTGGAAAGTTTTCGTAAATGTCCTTAATTAGAATTAGTAGTCCAGCTCTCAGATAATACGTAAGAGAATGGATGTTGTAATTACTTACTTTAACTTATTATAATTTTGCTTGGCAACACAGAACAAAATATGTATGCATCAAGAATTAAATACATGGTTATTTAGTACTACTGCTGCCTCCCGTGACGTTCGATCACGTAGACGTGAACAGATTGTTGAAAGACATCACCACGTTGAAAGCCGAAGTTACTGACATTCGTTTCAAATTTGAAGAATCGGAACGAGCCGCAACAAAGCTTAGGAACGAAGTCACTATGTTGCGCAGCATAATTGCAACATCCGCAAATTCACTGCCGTCGCGGAATGTAAATACGCGGTAACCGTAATAGTAGTCATATTTCACCGATGATTGCGACTCCGTCACGCGATACCGTCTGTCAGCGTGTTGATGACCGTGAAACTAGGGCGACTTCGATCTTCATTGCATCACCACCTCAGACCTTGACTAAAACCACGAGTACTCCTCCGCCGAAGCCATCCTCACAACAAGGGAAAACGTTTGCGGATGTTGCCCGAAAATCTTCACAACCGGCACCCTCTTGTGGTCGAAAGCGAAAGAATGTGGAAATAAAATCAGTTTCAGTGGTGACCCAAGACAAGATTGATAAGGACGGGTTTACTCTTGTTGAGAAGAGACGTCGGTCGCGACCCGTCTGTAACCAGCGTGGGACCGCGAAAATAAAAGCGAGTACAACTCTGCGTGCTGTGGAGCCAACCATACAACTCTACATCTCCCGTTTGGACAAAAGTACGTCGGGAGAAGACGTCCTGCGTTTCGTGGAAGAATGAAGCCGATGCCGCATTGAGGATCCGATCTCTTTACATTTGCAGCGTCTGGAGTCTAATAGGTCAACGAACTTCAAATCCTACGTACTCCAGGTTCCTGCAAAACATAAAGAGACATTCCTCGCTCCCGATTTCTGGCTCTCTGGGGTAGTGTTTCGCCGATACAGGGACGCGCCAAAGAAAAAAGTTCCCTAAATAGTGTTTTTTCTATATTTTATATATATTTTTAGGGTACATATTGCTATGGGCCAATGTTCTTAATTTTTTAGTCGTTGTGATGCCTACAATAAAGTTATTGTATTGTGTATTGTGTAATTATTACTTTCTTTTAACTCCCTTAATTTGGTCTTTTTGTTATTTTTTTTAACTTTCTGTGTTCTATTCGTTGCAGATCTATCAACATTTGCGCTGGTACACGAATCCATCAGAGCAGCGCTGGATCGTTCGCATCCTATTCATCGTGCCGATTTACGGCTGCTACAGTTGGATCTCATTGCTCTTTTTCAATGGCGACTCTTATTATGTTTACTTCTTCACCGTCAGAGATTGCTATGAAGGTATGGAAACAATATTTTTTCCTTTACACACTGTAGTCTAACTACTGCCCGTAGTCATCATTCAGCCCATTAAAAACCAATGCCGAACATAGTCTATGCGCCAGTGCCTGTCTGTTTGTAATGTCAAAATGATAACTTTTTACTAAATGCATATGAAAGTATATTATACGGTATTTATACGAAAAAAACAAATTTTAAAAATGTTGTTTGTTTGTCTGTTCGGCCTAATCTCCGAAATGGCTAGACCGATTTTGACGGAAGTTTCACTGGCAAATAGCTGATGTCATAAAGAGTAACAAATCATACTTATAGAAAAAATTTAGGATCCGCGCAAAAAAAAAATCATTAAATTCAATCGTAATAAATACCACGCTGACGTAGTCGCAGGGAACAACTAGTGTCTAATTAAAACTATTTATAGAATTTCGAAGTAATAGTTACTTCACCAATAAGACGGCAAAAAGTTGAAAAAATAACTCGAATATTATGAAAAGTAACCTCGTCCTTGTTGCAGCGTTCGTGATCTACAGTTTCCTGTCACTCTGTTACGAGTACTTGGGCGGCGAGGGGAACATCATGTCGGAGCTCCGCGGGCGGCCGGTCCGCGCTTCCTGCGTCAACGGCACCTGTTGCCTCTCGGGAGCGACCTACACGATCGGCTTCCTGCGATTCTGCAAGCAAGCCACGCTGCAGTTTTGCCTTATAAAGCCAGTTTGCGCTTTCATCATTATATTCCTTCAGGTGATCGAAATTTATTAACATACCTGATAAACTGTACACTACATAAAACATGAAGTGTTTAAATATTTTTTTGTAGAATAAGGGTGACAATAAGGGTGACACCTGATGGTAAGTGGTTGATGTGGCCCATAGACATCTACATCTATCTTCGTTTCCGAATTAAAATGCAGATTCGTTGTCAGCCGTGAGGACTAAGATAGAATGCCTCTTTTCCATTAAAAAGGGTCTCTGGTTCTCTACACTCACCTTATGAAACACAGCAGCATTAAGCTGCTATTTTACGCTGGTATTCTGTGAGAGCGTGGTCCTTTCCCGGTCGAGCCGAAGCATTCGCGCTACAACTATACCATTAATAGAGCTCTACCACGGTTCTATCACATATAACAATATTATGGAAATTACTCAAAAGTAACATTTCATTCTTCTTCTTCATCATGATGAAATCATAAAAGAGACCGCGCTGAACATTGTTGAAAGAATTGACTATAATAGCTACATTTGGCATGCTGCATTTTTGCTTCATAAAGCTGGTTTGCGTTTTCATCTCATATTCCTTCAGGTGAGCTATTGCAAAAATATTGGCCGAAAATTATAACATTCTTAACTAATTGTACACAAAGTAAACTCAAATCACATTCGTTTTCTTCATCAAATAATGCCGCAACGATTTCTTGTTTTACAATTACGACTGTGATTACTTTTCGCCGATTAAGATTAATCTTGGTAAGAAAAGGGAAAATACAATCGACTAAAACTAGCTCATTTCATATATTCTATTCATAATCATTTAAATATTTGAAAACATTAATAATAATCGAAGTGTATTGCCGGCAAATTTTTATTCAAAATCCATAACATTTCTTGGGCACAGATGATAAGCTTACAGTTGAAACCGTGATACTTTCAGTAAGAAATATGTGCGTGCTAGAAGTTTTAGTCAAAAATATAACAAGATGGGGTCTGCTGAGCGATTGAAGTCAATCAGCACCGTACTTACTACCGTACATAATAAATGTCTATTATAAAGTCATCACTGTCATCAAACTGCAATAATCCACCGCTTGGGCGGAAATTTTCATCGCTTATTGCACTGCAGAGAAAATTGGCCACAATCGCCATATTTGGGAGGCTGCTTGGCAATCGCAGCACCAGACGCTTCGTATTTGTGACGCTTCTTCCCATCGCTGGCCTGGGTATTTCATGTCTGGCGTAAATGGAGTGGCCGCTATCGGAAGCCATGAGACTTTACTAAATTTATAAATAATTGTTCAAGGTCTGGATGCTTGTCCATAAGTAATTAATGTACTTAAAGGCTTCCACGATAACATAGAAATTTCTATTGGGAGAGGGGAGAAGTTTACTATCCAGTACGTAATCAATAATTTTATAGCCCAATAATACCCGATGAGCTTTAATCATTTTATCTAATTATAACAATGTAAACAGTGTAATCAATTTTTATTCCATCTAAGTAGATGGAATTAAATTTTTTACACTGTAATTAGTTTTGCCAGGATACTGTTTAAATGGCTGTTATAAATTCAATGTACTGTTGTGACTTGTTTCAATACAATCGAAAAGAATGTAAACAAACATGATGGGTGATTTGTGCTTAACCAAAAAGTAAACAGTTTGGAATGTGACATCAGTTGAGTGAATTAATTGATCTATATTAATAAATCAAATATTAGATAAATCATTAACTTTTATAACATATAAATGAATAATTGTGAATACAGTTGCTGCCGGTTTCAACAGTCGAGATTATCCGAAACCCATGACAGAAATTTATGATTTTAATAGAAGAATTCTACGTACAGAAAATATCCACCCAGTTTCACATTTCTCCAAAATCGCGAAAAGCCCAGCCATTATGCAACAATGGTCAAACTGTCTAAACGGAAATTTAAAACAAATAATTCATATCTAATTCTATAAATAACCAATCTATAGGTAATAATTTAAAAAATATATTAGGTGATACATTATTGGATTATGTCGCCAATCAAACAACCTCGATCATTTAATTAATTGTGTCTCCTTTTTTGGGCGCGCTCTGCTTCTTGACTCAACTAGTATCTTGATCCTCGGAGTCAGCGTATTGTGAGACGTACCGCAGTCGTTAGAAAGGGCTTCAGGCTGGTCAAACGCTCATAACCTTTGCGCAAATTTGGCATCGGGCCTCCCCAGTAGCGCCTTCTTTCGTTTGACCGAATTCAACGTTGTTGAGAGGCTTTGCGTTTTTAATATCACCAAGTTAAATTGTGAGCATACATTTCCTGTAATTATTTTATTGACAGTTCAGACAAATGTAGGTATTCAAAAATTAAGTTTAGACAAGTGTACAACAATTATGCGCATTTTTATTTTAATGATAAAAAATGAGCAATATATGGATACGTGCACATTCTTATCAGTGATAGTGACATATTTACGATTACAAATGAAATACGTGGTCGCTTATCATGCTTATAAAGTGCTTATTATTGTTTATAAATGTTTGGTTCGAGAACTGTCTTGCTCGCGAAAGAATAAGTACATGCATAGACAGGCATTTAGTTACTATCTGGGCTTCACGTTTACGTCTATCTATTGCCCCGCTTACATAAACTAGCCGCTGCTGCTCAGCAACTTAACAACACCTAATAACCTTAATTAAATACCCTAAATAAAGTACCTTACGATAGAACAGCGGCATACATAAAAACGACAAGTTGCACTAGTAAGTTGTTAATGAAATTTATTTATCCTCAGCTTCAAATGTAGGGCAGGTTTCGACCACAGGGGGGAACAGAGTATGATGATATGACCGCAGGGGATAATGTGCTTTCGTATGTACGTTTTTTTGCATGCCTTAATCGCGAAGCGCGTAGGATGTTCTACTAGGGCCTAAAATCAAGACTAACGTTTTGTCGAATGAAATCGTATCTAACAATCATATTGTACATAGAAAAATGACATAAAAGCACATTGTCAGAATGTTATACAATTGTTGAACTTATTTTTTAAAATCTTAGTGGCTTATGGTGTGTGTGGATCTTATTTGTTTGAAAATACATCGCCCCTGTTGTTATCTTTAGAGGAAATCCTGCTGATTTGGGAAAATATAGATTTGAAAACTGCTTAATTTGACGTTAATGTGACTCCATCCACTGCAAAATACATAATTCATTAAATAAAGAAAGCGTAAGAAATGTTTTTTTTTTCTTCATATAACATTCAAAAATATTAGGAGTATCCACTGGAAAATTCCGAGAGCTCGTTCAAAAAAGTCGGTCAGTTCAGAAACTCAGAAAGTCCTTAAAATATTCAATTAGATCAGAGGAGAACCGTTTGCTAGAAGCTTGCTCAAAACGCCTGTACCAAACCCTGTCAAAGATCTTCGAGACATCAAGGGAAACAACAAGTGCTTCCCCACTATTCTTATGGGCCTCGTCCCGTATGTGAATGGTATATGTTAGAAGGTTTCCAAATGACCGATTACGTCGAAACTCGTACTGGCGCTCTTTTACTCTATAAAGTAAGGATCGTCAGTCGATGGCTCTGTGCTCCAAAGCATACCATTAAACAATGCTGAAAATTGCGATTGAAGAAAATTTGAATTAATCAACAATTTTCCGTTCTACAAAATATAAGTTTTATTTTATTGTTTGTAATTCTTCGTTCATATAAAAATGTTTTCGTTTGTTACAGTCTGCTGGCCACTACCATGACGGTGATTGGAGCCCGAACGGCGGTTACCTTTACATCACGATAGTGTACAACTTCTCCGTCAGTCTTGCCCTCTACGGTCTCTTCTTGTTCCTCGGCGCTACAAGGGAGATGCTAAAGCCTTTTGACCCCGTGTTGAAGTTCTTCACGGTTAAATCGGTTATCTTTTTGTCATTCTGGCAAGGTGAGTTTGCAAGATTTAATATTGTAAGATGTGTATATATAACAGCCGAAAATTATTTAAACATGGTAATGAGATAAAATAAACGGGACACACATGTATATAAAATGGTGCTTTGTTTTGATTTGCATTATTAAAAAAACATTTGTGTAAACAGTTCTTAAAACTGAGATCTTCACGTCATCTGGTTAAATATGAAACAAATGTATGGCAGAGACAAAGTTATTTCAATTTTAAACTGTGGAAGTCAGTTTTGTTTGATTTATTTAAGTCATTTACCATTGGGTAAATGTGTTATTACCATAGAACCTATAAACTAAGATAGGCATTAATTGTACACACCGTCGTTGCGTTAGTACTTTTTTTTGTTCATGGTTAGTATTTTTTTTATAGAATAAGCGTGACAAATGAGGATACAGTCTACCTGATGGTAGGTAGATGCTGTGGTCCATAGACATCTATATCTATCCTCAATTAAGATCCAAAGTGCATATGCGCTGTTATCCCTGAGGATGAAGATGGAATGCCTCATTTCCACTAAAAAGGCTCCCCGGTATTTATGCCGGTATTTTGTGAGACATTTTTATATGACATTTGTCTTTTCGAACGATTCTTTACTATAATTCAATGCTTATTTTACGTTTATGATCTGTTTTCGCATATGGACCTCGTTGATGGATAGTCCTGGTCTATTAAGGTACATGGAAGGTCGCTGACGCTAACGCTAACGCTAACGCTAACTCTAAGTATATGAGGCACGACGTTGTATGTGCACAGGCGTGGCGCTGGCGATCCTGGAGAAGGCGGAGGTGATCTCGCCGCTGGTGGACGCGCGCGGCGTGCCGACGACGGCGGGCACGGTGTCGGCGGGCTACCAGAACTTCCTCATCTGCATCGAGATGCTGGCGGCCGCCGTGGCGCTGCGCTACGCCTTCCCCGCCGCCGTGTACGCGCACGCGCGCCGCGACCCGCACCGCTCCGTCACCATGCAGTCCATCTCCAGCAGCCTCAAGGTCAGCCATCACCACCACGCCGCACATCATAAAAACAACGGAGGTGTTATGATTCGATAATTATGGCAGGCAAAGGTTCTTAGACCATACAGCCTAGCTACACTAGAATTTTTTGGTCTAAGACTTTTGATGTGTAAGTCTAGTCTGATTTCTATTTGGTATTATTCACAAAACTCTTCACAATACATTGATTCGTCACATTACAAAGTTATTGGGAGATTTTGACGGCAGCTTAATAAAAATAAGAAATAAGTGATGACGATGATATCTCAAAAGTCCCAAGTGGATAAAAAACCTGACATTTATATCACCATCAAAGCACTTGTTACATCGTTTCTGCTCATAATTCACATGCATCCATCCATCCGTATAGGCCTCTCCAGTAGATTGCCTCATAGTTAAGTTTTCGCATAATCACAACGGTTGGCAGGTGGGTTGGTAACCGCAGATTTGAATTATTTTGAGTTATTATCAGGAGATGGCGTCATGGGGTAGTTAGTGGATATTCTTACACCGCCACTCCACTATTAACTTGTTATATCGTTTTCACTGAAAATTCACAGGTCACTAACTACACAAAACCGCAACACTTATACGAAAAAGGAACTATTTGGGTTAGAATTCAATAATATTTCTTATTGATTTTTAAGAATGTTTTTAAATGTTGTAGTTACAGTGTCCCAGTGCCTTTCATCCTTTTATCCTTTTTTTAGTCATCATACTCGTGGAATATTAATTTATTTTTCCCATTTTACAGGAAACTATGAATCCGAAGGATATTATGACAGATGCTTTCCATAACTTCCATCCGCAATACCAACACTACACGCAATACAGTTCTGGTAAGTTCATACCATTATGTGTGCATGACATACTTTGCTGCCTGATATATTTTATTTGCCAAATATTGGACCAATATATGAATTATTTTAATGTGCTAAAGTAAACAAAACTGTTAGCTATGTACTTGGTTGTCATCTATACATTTTTAAAAATATTTCCTTCAAATTATATAAATGTTTATTATCTAATAGATTACTTTTAGCTCAGTAGAATTTTTTCCAAATTAATTTCTATACTTTTTAGTTTTATCTGTAAACGAAAACGCGATCTTTTTATTTTTTTAATTTCATTTTCTTTCAGATGTCACATCTCACCTGCCTTATGAGAAATTATAAGCTCTGCCATAGCTGTGCTCTGCATGAAGTGCATTGCTGTCTATCTGTGCATTATGTATACATAATAAAAATAAACACCCATGCCATGATTAAGCCACATGTAGCGCTGAAATTATATAATGTTTGTTGATGTGATCTCTACAAACAGTCATAGACTATTTCATAACATCAATAGGACTATAGATTTATACCTGTTTAAATACGTTTCATTTTCGTTTAAAACCCGTTCTGAAGTGTAGAAAGTACGAAAACAATTTTAAAAAATCTTGGTGAACAACTTGGGACGACTTCCGATTAGTTTGTTATAAAAATATTTTTACATACAATTCGTGTTTGATCAAATAGATCATAACGGAGTGTGAAACGTTGCTACAATATAGGAATCTGGCATCAGTCACTGTTGCAAGTTGTATCCTGCCCAGTATGGCTGAATTACTCACTAACAAAAAACTGCATGCATATCTCAATGGATACAAATAACTTTAAATGGCCAATCTCCAGCTTTCATTTGAACATTGACATCACATTATGACTATTTCTTCATTGTTTTAACACATACAATCTAAAATTTGACTTGAAGAAAAATATTCTAACAAGTATTTTAGAGCTCTAAATAAAAAAAAAATTAAAAAAATTTAAATGAAACATGTGAAGTTAACAAGTAACCAGTCATTTTGCTGTATAAATATTATAGTTTTATACACTAAATTTTAAATATATGGTAAGTATTATATATTTTATTTTATATTTATAACTAATGTTGGACTGCTGTAAAACGAAATAATATATAAAAGTTAACAATAAACCATTATGAATAGTTTCGAAAAGATTTTCAATATAATATCTAATAATAATTCTCATATTCATAAGAATATTATATGGCGTTCCTCGGTTATATATCCTCATAATATACATATATGTAACCTTTACGTAATAAAATGCCCCATAATTTGACTAGTCCGATGAGCATAATTAACAAAATGTAATTTTACGTGTCAGTTTTAATATTGTTTTATTTTTGATAATGACAGTAAATTTATACAACCTTCTTTAACCAAAAATGAAGTTAACATAAATAAATAACTCTTCTGAAATGTACAAAATAAAGCATAAAAAACTATGTTGCCGTATTCGGACTATTCAATATTAAATTTGTATTTCGAAAAATCCTTTTATTTTTGTACCTTGCGCCAACATGTGTTGTGGAAGTGTGTGTTAATGTTTTTTTATTTCTGTGATTTGATTTTTTTTCTTAAATCTGTACATTTTTGTTAATTTTCTACTAGTTAGTGGATATGATCCGTTAGTTGATGCTAGGCTTGTTAAATTCTTGTAATGTATATGACTCTGTTTTTATTTTGTCTAAAAGCGTTTTTCGGTTTAGTACATAATGGTTTCGTTAGATAACAGGCTAGTGTACCAATTTGATTCCACCGAAGTTTGTACAGTTTGAATATCACCAAAGCCCGTTATTTTATCGGTGACATTTTCAGGTGTTAAAATATTAAATGGAAATGTTTATAATATATGCTTTGTATTTACGCGTCTTAACTTGAACGGAGAATTTTTTTACTTTATTTAATAATATAGGTTTAAACGTAAGTAGCTTTTTCTTTAAGGGCTTTTTATAATATCAGTTTTGTGATTTTTTTTAAATAAAAAATAAATTTATTTTTAACGTACCTACATATTGCGATATTTAGATTAAGAGAGAATAATTGTTTCAATTATAACTTGCGATAATTGACACTTAGAATAATTTCTTCTTTGTATTTGCCCTTTCGCTAACAAATAAACGTCTTTACTGTAATGTTATTATTTTGATTATTGAACTAACGTCATTCGTGACATCATGGAGGAGGTAAGTTCGTCATTTCTATTGAATGTATACGCTGCTTATTACTAATTGTTTTGCTGGCATGACTCTATGTAATGTTCGGTAATGCTATCATCGTATGTTTTCTATCTGTTTGACGTTGCCTATGTTAGATCTAAGCTAATCATAGGGTCAACATATTATTATAATTAAAATAATAATTACTTTTTTACCACAATACATGGTATCCATTTTCTATTTTAAATTTTGCACATATTTGGTCTTATTCATAAAAATTACAAAAATGAATTAATAAAACTTCAAATAGCAATAAAACAGTAAGCCGACCAACCCAGATACTGTGGTGTCATCTCGCAATCGCTATTATTTAAAATAATTCTACGTTGTTACATAATATATTAGTAAATACCATGTGGGTATCAAAAAATTGTCGTTACAAATGAGTATTAAATGCGTAACATTTTGTATCTTGTAAAATTTAAGCTGCGAATCCTTTCATTATATTCTGAACTAAATCTATATATTATTTTAAATACCACCCGTATGATACAAATAAAGTTATTATTGAATAAGACCTTCATTATACAATGTGCATTTTATATTACTTCAATCGTAAGAAATGTTCCTGATTATTCAAATTATACATTATTACATATATTCCTCACATCCTTATTGAAGCTTATATCATCAATTAAAAGCGTGCACAAAAACAAATCATAATTTACAACACAAAAAAACGTACTCACAAATAACTTGTAGTTTTTATGCGATTCATATCAAGAAAACAAGATTAAATTGTTTCACTCGCACGTTTCTACATTTTCTTTTAATAAACTGAGCGTTGCACACAGTTTACACGTTAGTATAGATTTTAAAAAGGAACTTAACGGTCTGTTTAAGTTTAAATGTTAAGTATGTATATTTAAAGCAATGATTATGCACAGTGATGCGGAGTGCCGGTATAGGCAAGCGGGGAGGCGACGAGGGCGCGACCCTGGCGCCGCGGCCGCCGCCGCAGCGCGTGGCCACCATCAGCAGCGCCGCTAACTACCACGAGAAGACCACCCTGCTCAGTTCCGACGACGAGTTCCAATGAATTACCTATTTAGTTCTACCACGGATACGATCGCACCTATTAACAAGACAATTGTAAAATATAAAAAAATATTAAGGGACAGACAAGATTTTTGAATTTAAAAATTTATAGTATTTATCACTTAATATGAATCGTGTGTTGTATACGGAAATCGTTGCCTCAACGCACTTTATAATAACACTGGAACAAAAAATAAATTCAACTATATATATAACTATTTATCTTTCCCGATACAAAGAATAGAAATGTAGCAAAGAACGAGGCAAAAAATTGTCGTTCATGGTGGTATTATATCGTATGGCAAGTCTTCCAAATATATTTTATTTCTTCGTAATGCATACAGGTTCCTTCATGATCCTTTTCTCTGCCGACGAACTTGTGATAAATAATCACTTAAAATTGAGATCGACTCTTCAATTATTTCGAAAATATCTACATTATGAATGTTCCTTACCTTTGTTAAAGTCTCAACCGGAGACTACATTTGTGCAAAAAACAAATTGTTTTAAAGTGATACGGTGTTTCTAACACCGCATTCAAGCCTACCCAGATCTTAATTATCGTAATAATAATCGTAAAAGTATCATTATGTGACCTACCAAGGTTCATTTTAATCGTCAATGTATATAAAACGAAGCAGAGGCTTAGATAACTTTTTGGATGGGATTTGAAAACCCCTCTACGAATATCCTGTGCAATTCTTTGAAATTATATGATTTTTTTCGTTTATAGGATTACTAATTAAAGGAGCTAACCAAAGCTCTAAAGATCATATTAGCCGCAAAAAAAAAAGCTCTGAATCCCTGAATAGCTTCTCTCACACAATAAAAAAGATACGTAAGGGGTAATGTTTCTTTGCTACGTGTTGTGTGGTACATTATGTGTAATTTTATAGTATTTGAGAGCAGTCAGAACTTTTCATTTATACTGTAAATTTGTCTGGCAGATATTTTATAAAGACAATGAAAGTGCATATATAGGTTTTCAGTTTTGTTCAACATTGAATAAATTTCATTCTTAAGGGTGTTTTTTCATTAGCCGACACGATAACGATATTTTTTTAGCCGATACAAGCCGCATCAGTATCGGGGCATTGAAATGTATGAAGCGATCTATGATGCTTTTTCATTCACTGACATGATACCGATACATCGGACACGGATCGGATCGGACGTGTTACCGATATGTCGGTAATTAACACACCTATTATTTATTCTGTGGTAACACGTCTGCTTCATAGAGAATCGTCCAGATTACGTAAATACGCACAGATTGTAAGAATGTAAGACGTAAATACGCACAGATACATATGTGCGTGACCTGCTTGATATTCTTTTACATTGAAGTGAACAACGTGCTGGCTCTGTGCTGTGTGTTTACGTGTTGACATTAATTTATCCATACGTAATATGTGCGGTTTGTTTTTAAATAATCATGTTTATAATTTAAAAAAAAAAAACTATAATTAATTTGAGCTATTTTTTGTTTATTAATACGTCAACATCGAAAATTGTCGAAAAAATGAAAAATTTATCTCCGTCAACGTGTCACATTTACTATTAGATGTGATACAAACTTCAACAATTTCTCTTCTAAGCGATTAGCTTAAGCAGATATTATTAATTTTTTCATTCATTATAACTTATCAAAAGTCTACTGCTGAAAGTAGGCCTCCCTCTTTGATTACTTTATAAGGATATTTATTTAAAATTAATTTAGAGGAAGTCAAAGTGATATTTTTACTTATAACTTTTTGAACATAAATTATTATAATATTATAGTTACATCCATGTGAAGTATTCCGTAATTAGTTGCCTGCATTACCCATCAGTTCTGCTTAACCTATAATTTACTTGTTATTACTAATTTTGGTACATAATACAGTTCAAAATGGAAAATGTCGCTAATGTACACAACTTGCATAAAGAGCTAGAAGTAAGCTGGACGCAAAGGATGGCTGATTTTGAGGATCGTTTGCAAGCTGCATTGGTTCCGTCCAGCCCGACGTTATTGCAACTTAGTCAAGAATTTTACAACTTTAAGGAGCTTGTGAAAAAAATGCTTAGCCTACTGCAACATCAAGTCCAAAGATGCACAGATTCCATTGATGAAATGGATATGCGGCAGCGGCGTGAAATATTGTTGTTTAATGGCATAGCTGAAACCCCAGAATCTAACATTGAGAATGAGGTACTTTCTTTGATTAAAAACAAGATGGGACTTTCTAATGTAAGTAGCACTTCATTTAAGCGGTGTCATCGTCTGGGATCTCAGGGTAGTGAAGCTGGAGTTAGGCCTGTTCTTGTGCAATTCAATGAGCATAATGTCAAATCTGAAATCTGGAAGTCCAAGGCCAAATTAAAAGGCACTCCCTTCACGATTACAGAGTTTCTCACGAAGATCCGTCAAAATATTTATAAAAATGCACGTAAACACTTTGGTGTTAAAAACGTTTGGACTTTTGATGGTACCATTTATATTAAATTGCCTGATAATAGCCGTGCCAAGGTTTTCACGGAAATAGAATTTAATAGTCTTGTGAAAAAGTGGTCTCCGACTAGTATCCCTTCGGCGGCCGATTCATCTCCTAAAAGTAATGAAAACAATGTTGTGGAAAATATGACTGTTTCGCAGCTGAGTTCATCAAAAACCAGCCCCCAACAGAAAGTGGTTCAGTGCAAGCAGGGAGTCACTGCAGTATCAAGTAACGAGAGCAAGAGAACAAGGCGAGTTATCTACAAGAAGTAAATTACGGTGGTGGTATACTTTTATCCCATAAATATACTGTGCTTATATTATATATAAATTCAATGGTAGTTACATTTAGCTAATTGATAAGTTGATGCTGTCGTCTTGTGTACCTGTTATATACACTCCATGGAGATATCATGGATAAACAAGCATTGGTGATTTGTTTGTAATATATTCTCGACGTTTTAATTTATCAAGCACAATTTTTTTTTTTGTCTCTCTCTTTATATACATGTAGTTCAGGCTTAGAGTACTAGCTTATTAGATTATTAACGTCAATTAGATATTTGGGTAGGTACCTAATTAATCTCAATATATCTAGGTGTCATAGGCATTGATCATTGGTCATTGACAAAATATGTAGTACTACTGTAGCAAGCTATTGGTTTGATAGTTGATTTTCGTTGTTACAAATCAACATAAGCAGACAAAGACCTCAGACCATACAGCCTATATTGGCTACATAGTTTATACTTTATAATTATTTTATTAATTTCAGTAGTTCGTACCACTAGTACTTTTGCCATTGTTAAGGTAGTTCATTTGTTAAATTTAGGTCACTTTTATAATTATGTACTCGAACCAAAATATCCTTCTTTTAATATTTTTGTTAAACTTTATTTTAAATATTCCTTTTTGTTGTGTTTCTTAAGTTTAGTTTTATAAGCCCTAGATGTATGTAACGGTATTGTGAGCTGGTATAAATGCTTTAGTGTTATGTAAATTATTATGTCATAAGTTACATATTTTTGGATTGTGCCCAATTCATTTGAATTGTGTTTAGCTGTTAATTTTGCCTTCTTCATTCGTTTTAACCTGATAAGTATATTTCTTTTTCTGTTTTTCTTTACCCTATTGTAAACCGTCAACTCGTGGCTGATGGGATAATGTAAGGTGAAATAATAATAATACTTGCAAATTAATTATTAGTATTTTATTAGGCTTTACAATTTGTTTTATAGATTTTTATTTTAAGTTGTATTTAATTATATTATTTAGGTAATTTATTATATATACTTTACTTAATAATTTTGTAATGTCTGGCGATGAATCATTTTATTCTGCTCAAGAATCAGAAACTTCGTTTACCTCCTGTTGTGATACGTCTGTTGATAATTTGCCATCACTTCGTGATGATTTAAATAAAATTTTTTTGCCTTGTGGTAAATTCCTTAACGTCTGCCACATAAACGCCCAGAGCATTCCGGGTCATTTTTCTGAATTTGAACAATCATTCTCACTTGATTTAATTCATGCTATATTAGTATCGGAAAGCTGGCTAAAGCCATCATTATTGTCTAGCCTGTATCCTCTCAGAGATTTCGTGCTTATTCGTAACGACAGGATAGGAAGGGGAGGTGGAGGTGTTGCAATATATCTACGAGCAACAATACCTTATAAGATTGTTCTATCTTCTCCATTCCCCTATTCTGCCTCTGCAGAGTTCTTATTTCTTGAAATTGACATCAGGGGCGTTAAGGCGATACTAGGGGTAGTGTACTGTCCGCCGGCTGTAGATTATTTCCTTGATCTCGAAACTGCTCTTGACAAGATTGGGTCCGAATATACACACCACATAATAATGGGTGACTTCAACACCAATTTATTATTAAATAACTCTCGCGTCCAAAAACTTCGGTCAATCTTGGAATCAGTCAATTTCTGCATTCTTCCATTAAAGGAAACCCACCACAACATCGACAGTGATGATTCATGGATTGACCTTATTATTACCTCTTCTCCCGACCGTGTGGTTAAGCATGGACAACTTTCTGCTCCGTGTTTTTCACGTCATGACTTAATTTACCTTTCTTATAGATTGAAACCTCCAAAACATAAACCCTCTATTTTGCATTTACGCAACTTTTCCAAATTGAACATTGATCAACTTAAGAGCGACGCTTCCCGTGTTGATTTAGAACCTCTTGGCTTAGCATGTACAATAGATGATAAAATCTCAATCCTTAATAGTATTGTTCTCAATTTATATAATGTTCATGCTCCTGTACACCAAATAAGAGTAAAGCGTCCTCCTGCACCTTGGATGACCAGAGGCGTAAGGCTGGCAATAGCTAGACGAAACCGAGCTTTTCAGAAGGTTAAGAAGCAACGCACTATGGAAAATTGGACTAGTTTTAAGGCTTGCAGAAACAGATGTAATCAGATGGTGCGAAACGCTAAACGCCGCTACATTCACGATAATATCCTTAATAATTCGACCGCAGGTATGTGGAAATTCCTTGGATCCCTAGGTATTACCAAGCCTCCGTTAGCAGAGCTAGGTCCTTCGCTTAATTTAGATGACATTAATCGTCATTTTTCTGTCATTGTTCCTATTGATCCTAGTATTAAATCCCAAACGATACATTCTATCGTTTCTATGGAATCACTCTCCATTCCCTTTTTTGAATTCTCTCCTTTGACCCAAGATGATGTTGCTAAGGCGTTATCAGCTATTAATTCCAAGGCTCTGGGTTGTGATGACATAAGCAAGACTATGGTGAATATGTTACTCGAGTTTCTTCTCCCAGCAATAACACATATTGTAAATTACTCCTTGGACTCAGGTCAATACCCAACTTTGTGGAAACAAGCTTATGTTCGACCTCTTCCCAAAATTCCTAATCCTACACTACCCTCTCACTATCGACCAATTTCTATTCTCCCATTCCTGTCCAAAGTTCTTGAAGCCTGTGTGTATAAGCAAATCTCTTGTTTCATAAAAGAACATAACCTATTGAATGTTTTTCAATCAGGGTTTCGGTCTGGTCACAGTACCATCACTGCACTAATTAAGGTCACTGATGACATAAGAAGAGGTATGGATGAACAGAAAGTGACAGTGCTGGTGCTTGTTGACTTTTCAAATGCTTTCAACACAGTTTATCACGACATCCTCCTCTCTATTCTGACTCATCTTAGATTTTCATCCTCAGCTTTGGAGTGGATCTCATCCTATCTTCGCGGCCGCCAACAGTCCGTCCGCCTTGGAGAACAGTTCTCTGGCTGGGCTGACATCGAATCTGGTGTGCCGCAAGGCGGCATACTTTCTCCTATAATGTTTTCTTTATTCATTAATTCCATATCTTCTGTTATCAAGTGTTCGCACCATTTGTATGCAGATGATCTTCAACTATACGTACAATCTAGTATCGACGACATCAATAACGTCATAAGGCTGATGAACGATGATCTTGATGCTATCCGAGTTTGGTCGTACAGGCATGGTATCTCGGTAAATCCGTTGAAATGCAAAGCAATGATTGTAGGCAGTTCAAGGATGCTGGCTAGGATTGACTATAGAAACCTTGAACCTGTGGTTTACAATGGTATATCGATCCCTTTCAATGAATCAATAGTTAATCTTGGCTTGCATATAGATCAAACTATGAACTGGAGTTTGCAAATCTCTGAAATAAGCCGTAAAGTTGTTGTTGCCTTGCGTTCCCTGTATCGTCTGAAAAATTTCTTGCCCTTCAAAACTAAGCTTATGTTGGTAAATTCCCTCATTCTTCCCATTATTGATTATGCTGATGTGTGCTATCCGGATCTATCGCAAAATCTTCTCAACAAGTTGGAGCGCCTTCTCAATAATTGTATAAGATTTATTTTTAATTTACGTAAATACGACCATATCTCTGCCTATCGTTCTAAGCTTAAGTGGCTCACTATACGTCAAAGGCGTTGCTCCAGAAT